TGGTGACGGGCAATTTTTTCTTCAGAACTTTCCCGTTTGTCTCTTTCCCTCAAACCAGTTAATATTATTATTATTATTATTACATTTTTGATAGGGCAATCCCCACAGGCCTAAGGCCTTCTTACAGGGTACCCTAAATGTGCCAATACAAGGTAACGGAAGCGAGAAACAGATGTGCAAAGGCGAATGTCAGCAGGTAGAGAGTTCCAACGATCTGAGCCTAGAAAACTAAGAGAAAAAAGACCATTTATTTATGTACATTTATGTACTCTTGATAATATCCACCATGTACCAGTCAATCAATAAACTAAAATCGACTAAAACCTGTTGGGTTGGTACCAGTCTTGCAACCATCTGAGCTGCATGAGACGTATTGGGTCCAGCCAGCCCCGGTTGGGATCCTCTGTATTTTAGAGGAAACGTCTGGAACTACTCGATGTGTACGGGAGATCCTCCATTGCGTCCAGTATTATGCTCGCTGTATGTGTGCGTACTGTATGCTGGTCTCTCGGCCGTTAACACTACTCGATTTGTACGGGAGATCCTCCATTTCGTCGACGCGTCCTATATTATGCTCGCTGGACAATTATGTTCGTCCTTCTTGATATTTGTACTTTGTACTGTTGAGGCAACGAACTGAAATAATAAAAACCAAACCAAAAACAAAATGTGTGCGTACTGTGTGATGGTCTCTGGGTCGTTATCACTACTCGTTTTGTACGGGATAATTCTATTTTTACGCATCAGTGAGGCTGTGAGTCTGTGACGTAGAACAGTTGCGAACAATGCAAGCCATTGATGTCGATAGACAAGATGTATGGCGTGCCATGGCGTTGCATGACCGTGTTGTTGATATCTGTGTCAGCCTGCATGCTCACATTGGTCCCCTTATTCAGTGCTGCATGCTCCTCTCCACTCAGTTGCATATTCTCTTTCGTTGTTTTTCCTTCCCGTGCGACATTTTTGTTTGTTTTTTGGATATTTTATTGGAATTCGCAAATCCGAACGAGCAGAAATGCTCATTGACAAGCCGGCGAATATGCTCAACGCCGTTTTGCTAGCTCCCTTCGCAGCGATGTTGTTGGGCATTCTTGGACCAGGACTTACACTCGAAAGAGTCCTTTTCTCTTGCAAATAATATTTCCATCGACGAAAATAATTGACCAACCGGTTTTGATACTTCGGCTGGTCCGCAGTTCCGGCTCTGCAAGTCTTCAATTTTCCACCCCGCTGCCATCCCAATTTTGGAGGAATAGCGCCTTCTATGGGCGACTCCATTCGATATGTTTGGCAAACCCCTTCACGCTTCAATCATATACTGCTCTCTGGTTCGAATGGACTTGTTCCGTTCACGGCTGTTTCAGCCAGCGATTTTTGGCCATCTAACATGGCGGGGGGCACCCGCTGATTTTTGCAAAAAATCAAAGATTAATCATTTTTACGTTGATATTAAGGTGAGTTGCTATCATTCTTCCGCGATTTACTGCCGCTAGCCCCACATTTTTGAAACTAAATCCGCGGGAGTGGAAAGCTGACGCGCAAAGCAACATTTTGGTACCAAACATTCCTTGATCGGACGAAGGAGAAGGAAGTTGCTTTCTTTTTTGGCGCAGTGGAATTATAGACTGAAATTGCTGTCAGTATATTATTAGCTACCTTCATCACGCTCGTGGTACGTCTTCTGGAGTTATTCAGTCACCACTCGAGGTTTTCCTCGCATCCTCGGGTAGTTGTCCGTTATATTTTCGCGAGTTCTTTTGAATACGATGGTGAACTCAAAAATACGATGGGCCTTTACTTTTCTCTGTTTCCAGTGGGAGATATGCACATCTGCGACGCATCGCACGACATGGAGCACCATGCAGCGCATTTACAGCGTCTATGCCGTGTAGGAGGCGCAAAATTTACTGCGTGCTCCCAACAGACGAGATATCCAGTGTCTGACTACACTGAAACGATGAAAAACGTATTCAGTATTGATGTTTGTAATGACGACCCTACCATACACCCAACATATATCTGTGCTCTTTGCCAAAGAGTGCTGAAGAGATCACAGAGCACAGAAAAGTTCAATCCCAGTGGCGATGGTTGTGGACAAGGGGTAACAATTAGTTGGAAAAGACATGAACCTGTGAATTGCAGAGTCTGCACCAAGTTTCAAGAAAAATCGAAGGGTGGCCGACCAAGCAAACAGATAAAAACAGCAAGCGGAGCGGCAAAAATGACATCAAGCAGTAGCAGTGCATGTGCATCTAGCAATAGCATGGATATACCTGAAAGTGAGGTGCATGACATATCTGCACCTGATTATGAAGCAGAGTACAATTTGACCATGTCAAGATTTGCCGACAGCAGTGCAGCAGCCACAGTACAATGCATGATCTGCCGCAGCACGTCGAGCGTCACCATGCTGTTCTAGAGTATTTTGCACGAAATGCATATGCCAAACATTAACCAACGGTGCGCAGTGTCCAGCCTGCCATCATACCCTGTGTGCTTCAGAACTGGCAAAGCCAAGCGACCTGTTCTGTCAACTGCTTGCGAACTGGTCCGTCCACTGTGGATCAAACTCGGTGGTGATCACGGCGGAGGATCTTTCAAGTTCGTCCTGCAGATCGCGAATGTGCAGCGGCCGAATTCACTCCTCAACACTATCCCGATTTGCATCTTCGAGGCACAAGACACGCCATCGAACCTTGAAACCGCGCCAGGAGTCTATCGTGACGAGGTCAGAGATCTGCAAACAACAGCAACATGGAAGAACAAGTCGTTCAAGTTGTTTTTCTTTGGCGACTACGAATATCAAACGAAAGCATATGGTTTGTCGGGGTCCAGTGGCACCCGACCATGCTTACACTGTCTATGTCAGAAGAATGATATTGACATTCCACCAGCCCTAAACCCAGATGCCGATTCTACCAGCAGAACACTAGAAACTCTGTACAACGATTTCACTGGATTCACGAACAGTGGCTCAAATCTAAAGAATGCAAAGAACTACAGCATACGTCCAGTGATCTTACCTATTCCCGAGGAGAATGTTGTAATCCCGGCTCTTCATCTGGATCTGGGTATTTTCCCATGGATGCTGACTGCTTTTCAGGCTGAGCTCAAAGCACTCGACATTGAGCTTGCCAGTAGAACAGCTACTGCAGACACCGCCGTTCCTGCCGCCGTTGCTACTACAGCAGACACCGCCGCTGTTTCTGCTGCCACTGCCGTCCATGCCGTCGTTCCTGCTGCCACTGCCGTCCCTGCAGTCGTTCCTGCAGCCGTCCCTGCAGTCGTTCCTGCTGCCGTCCCTGCAGCCGTTCCTGCAGTCGTTCCTGCTGCCACTGCCGTCCCTGCAGCCGTTCCTGCTGCCACTGCCGTCCCTGCAGCTGTTCCTGCAGCCATTGTCGCTCCTGCAGGCGTTCCTGCTGCCACTGTCATCCTTGCAGCCATTGCTGCTACAGCAGTAGCTGGTGATGCTGGAAGCTTTGAAAAGCTTTTGTCACTGCATGCGGAAGCCAGCAAAACGGATGAGGAGATTTCTGCAGTTACCCAACAACTACATTTAGTGCAGCAGCAAGTCCAGTACATTGTTCTCTTTTCTCAGCTTGATACATGCTGCCACAGTGGAGAGCGTGACACAACACCTACAAGACCAGTGGAAGAATGGTGATGCACGCCGCACTGCATTGCTTGCGCGGAGACAGTCACTCACCGACCAAATGGCCGCAATAAAACAGAACAAAAAGTGTGAGGGGCCATGTTGAGCAAGCATCGAGCCAGTTTTCCAGCGCAATGGAATCGATAGGCAAGCATACCATGGAGGTGCTTTTGTGGGCAACCATGTGCACATAGCTCTTCAGCCAGCAGTGACAACTGAAATAACCACAGCACATTTATCTGCAGTAGCTTCTCGTGCGCCACTGCTGCTCCCAGAGGCAAATCGAATTCATGAGGATTACCAGCGCCTTATGTCCCTGTATGGCGAGTGCACTGCTCTCTTCAGCCACTGCAGGCCTATGGACGAGGCCACCATATCCAAGCTAGAAGGCTTGGTGGAAACATTTATGGCTGCATGCCGAGATAGGGTCGTCAGCAAGAAGCTCGGCCACATCACGCCGAAATTGCACATGTTGGAGGTGCATGTCGTGCCGTCCATCCGGCGGCGAGGCGTTGGTCTTGGTCTCCTCGCAGAGCAAGGGAGTGAGAGCATTCACGCCCGCTTCAACGAGCTGAGGAGACACCACGAGGCCATCCGCAATCCCTTGGAGAGCCTCAAGTCTGTTGCACAGACGCATTTGATTGCAACTCTCCCACAACACGAGTCGCTCCGTCCAGTGAGCAGGAAGAGGAAATCCTCGCAGTAAAGTTAGTGTTCCTCTGCATCTTGTTTGCTGGCCTATCTGAAATTCTCGGCCTTCCATCTCGTTTGAGCTCTTTTAGCTTTCTCTCCTCTCAAAATAATTTTTTCCTTTCTTCTCATCTCAATATCTTTCCTCACCATAAATGGCATAATATTTTCGAGGCGATCGAGGACGCGTCTGACGCGCTTGTCAGCAAGTACAAAAATTCGGTTCGTCATGGTTTTGATGTGAAAATGTAATAATTCGCTCCGTATTATAAAATACCGTTGGGATTTGTCAAAAACGGCGCAAAAGCCGCCATATTGTTAGATGGCCAAGTGGGAACAGCCGTGCGTTGGTTCCACACAGCATGAGGTCAAGCCTATATAATACCCGAGTTCAAACATTGCACTCAGCTCCAATGGCTCGATTTGACACCGCTACACCTCTACTACAAGGCACTGGATTGAGTTCCCAAGAGATCAAATTGGGCCAAGCGTACGACAAACTGAAACCTCGTCGGTGACCGTGTGTACAATTGCGGACGTTTAGAGAGCCAAATGGGTAAAAAAATTGCGGAAAAACCACGATGTTGCGAATTCGCCCCGCTTTCTCGCCTTGCTCGAGGACCTCGCGCGATCGAGGAACCAAAGGGCGGGGCAGGCAGGCGTGCATGCAGTCTGGTGATGGGGAAGCCAATGGTTGGGAGGTAGTTTTGTTTGCCGAGTCCTTTGACCGTTCTACTGCAAGAACTAGTCTACAACGAATCTCAGAATGGAAGGAACTTCAGATTTTTCAGAGGAAGACGCTCTCCCCACACGCTCCGGCGAATCACCGACTCACACAGGCATCGGCAGCAGCCCGTCCGCCGACACATTCTCCCCCAATCTACCAGAAGCACGAACAGCAGTCTCCTCCCGCGTTGCTCGCGGTGAAAGTGTCACAAGCCCCTGTGAGGAGGACGAGGAGGAAGAGGAGGACAACGACGATGACGTTGATGAGAATGAAACCAGCAGTACCTCACTGTCCGAGACGTCCGGGCGAAAACTAATGGGACGCAAGAAATCCTCACTGCGTTTCATCACGCAACGCAAGAAGCGAAACGCAACCTTTCGGAAACGCAAACGCGGGCTTATGAAGAAGGTAAGGTTGAGGCAGCAGTAGGTCGTTTCGTAAGGTAGTGTGTATCCAATGTGTAACGCTTGGTCTGTCGTATATTGAATGCGATTCGACGGGACTTTTACTCTGCTATATCTGCACGGTGTTCGTGAAATCTGTGAGCTTTTCATCATCCCTTCACTGGCTTCGTTTCTGAATGTGTTTACTCATAGTCACCTTTATGAGCATTAGACGAGAGCAATGTTGGTTATTGCATAATAAATGTCTCTCAAAGGAGGCCAGCGACCCGATGAGGGTACCTGTAGCCAATTCGTTGCGGAGGTTTAGGGTTTGAAGTCCAAGGACGACGTAGATCCAAGACAATACATTCCTCTGCGGAATGCACCCGGGAGATCCTTTCTTGACGGATGTTCTATTTTGTATGGCAAAAAAAGTACCGTTCAGTTTCTGTAGGAAAGCGAGCTTACTGATGCACCTTCAAGCCCCGTGAGTTCTTCATTTTACTGACCAAACCGTACAGCGGTGTATTATAATACAAGGGGTCAAAAAAAGATTACGAATACTCATTTGCAAATGTAGCGACGCAGTGCTATTGTCTTTGTTCCGACGGTTCTCTCTCTCTCTTTCTTTCTTTCTCCCTCTTTCTTTCTCTCCCTCTCTCTCTCCCTCTCTCTCTCTCTCTCTCTCTCTCTCTCTCTCTCTCTCTCTCTCTCTCTCTCTCTCTCTCTCTCTCTCTCTCTCTCTCTCTCTCTCTCTCTCTCTCTCTCTCTCTCTCTCTCTCTCTCTCTCTCTCTCTCTCTCTCTCTCTCTCTCTCTCTCTCTCTCTCTCTCTCTCTCTCTCTCTCTCTCTCTCTCTCTCTCTCTCTCTCTCTCTCTCTCTCTCTCTCTCTCTCTCTCTCTCTCTCTCTCTCTCTCTCTCTCTCTCTCTCTCTCTCTCTCTCTCTCTCTCTCTCTCTCTCTCACACACACACACACACACACACACACATGCACAAAAAACACACACACAAAAAACACTGTATCTCAAAGCCCTATCTCTCCCCAGTTTAATAATCTGTTACCTATGTGCATTCTAATCGATGTTACTGCAGGGCTTTGAGCTCAGTAAACTCACCAGTGCCGAAGTACTTGTCATGGTGGCCTGGGACGACGGTGTGTTCTCCTACGGTACCAAGAAACTACGTCGCCTACTGACAGCGCCGCTCGGCAAAGAAATGGTCAGATGCTGCCTAAACGCACCACTGCCAGAAACAGCCGAAACCACAGACACCGACGAAGACGTTTGGACGGGCGAATGCATCGAGAAGATCGTCCTCTCTCCAGACATGCAGAACAACAGGAACGGACCAACACCGGTAAGTGATGACAGTCCCTCGCTGCAACCAGCGGGGTGGCAAGCAACTCGATCACTCAACTCTCCCAAAAATAATTTGATATCTAAGTGGATTTTGAACCAGTTGTATTAGGTGGTGTGCCTTGTGTCGCACTATCTGACTGTCTAATATCTCGTTACCTTGGTGGATTGTTAGTCGTAACTCGAAATAATAATTATGCACACTCATTACTCCAACACACCAGACAAGGCAATCATATTATAACTGTAAAGCAGTATAGACATGTGTGTGTGTGTGTGTGTGTGTGTGTGTGTGTGTGTGTGTGTGTGTGTGCGTGTGTGTGTGTGTGTGTCACTGTGTTGGTGTGCTTATGTGTGTGTACATGTGTGTGTGCACGTGGCCATGTGTGTGGGTGTACATGTGTGTGCATGCATGTGCGTCAGTGTGCATGTGTGTGTGCGCGCGCGCGCGTGCCGGTGTTTATGGATATTGGTGAGCGTGTTTGTATTGATATCGGTGTCTGTTTCTGGCCATGTGTGGGTATGGGTGTGTGTATGTGTGTGTGTGTTTGTCTGTATCTGGCTGTTGGTATAGGTGGGTGTGGGTGTACATGTGTGTGCATGCATGTGCGTCAGTGTGCGTGTGTGTGTGTGCGCGCGCGCACGCGTGCCGGTGTTTATGGATATTGGTGAGCGTGTTTGTATTGATATCTGTGTCTGTTTCTGGGCGTGTGTGGGTATGGGTGTGTGTATGTGTGTGTGTGTGTGTGTGTGTGTGTCTGTATCTGGCTGTTGGTGTGCGTGTGCGTGCGTGCATGCAAATGGGTGCTTTTTGCGTGAATGTGTGTCTTTACAGCCTCTATCGACTTTGACGGCATCTTCGCAGGCAACCGACCCCGTGTTCCGACATCCACCATCCGGAGCACTGCGCGACGCCATGGCCGCAGCGGGGAAAACCCCACCCGCGCATCCAGCCCTGTATGGGGCAAGCCCGCACATGTTTCGCCCGGACCTGGCCTCGCGCGCCGACCTGTACCGTGCCGCGCAGCTACAGGGCAATCCAAACGTGAACATGGCCAGCTCCATGCCACCGACGACAAGACCTGACGCCCGGAACACGTTCTCGCCGTGCCACGCCATTCCACAAGCGCCGTCCCCTCAGATCCCGGTCATGAAACAGGAACAGGGTGTGGCGCCACTGGCACCAAAGCAGAGCATGCAGCAGCCAGGCCTGAGCCCGTTTGTGCCGGAATTCCAAGCGCCGCTCAACATGAGCCCGGGCGCCAGCAAGGACCTCATGGCACACCAGATTAACCAGTATCTGGCCGCCGAGGGTCGCGCAGGCTACCTCCGCTCGATGCAGCAGGCGCCGGACCTCGGCCTCATGTCTGACCTGCCCGGCTTTGCCGGCGCCGCGAGTGTGGTTGCCCCCGGCAACGGCCACGGCAGCATTGCCAGCAGGGGCAGCAGTAGCAGCTGCAGCAGCACAGGTAGTGTTGTGGCCTCGGCCGACCTGACGCAAAGTGCCTTTCTGAGCATGCAGTCGCGCTCTGGAGTAGTCAGTGGTGCATGCCCAGATGACTTCTATCAGCGCGCGGATGCGATTCCGCCGCTGCCCAATTGGTATAATTCCTGTGATCCCGGCAATTGGAATCCTTCGCCAACCTTTCTGTAAAGTATCTTTCCTTTAGATCTGACAGTCAACTCTGATTACCAGGCAGCTCCTGGAACAGATACAACCCTCCACTTTTGTTTTTCACCACACTGTCTCTTTTTCTCTTTATTTCTCTTTTCTCTTTCTCTCTCTCTCTTCCCTCACCACTCACTCACTCACTCGCTCTCTAGTGCCTATCTTTCTTCTTCCTTTCACTCTCTTTCTTTTCTCAAGCCACAATGTGTCATTACCACCTGATCAGCATTCATTACTCCACACTCCACACTCCATATTTGGAGCAATCATCCATACCACCACTGCATGCATATTTCTCTCTTTATTCTCTCCCTCCCTTTCCCTCTCTCTCACTCACTCTCTCTCTCTCTCTCTATCTCTCTCCCTCTCTCTCTCTCTCTCTCTCTCTCTCTCTCTCTCTCTCTCTCTCTCTCTCTCTCTCTCTCTCGCTCTTGATCTCGCTCTCTCTCTTTCTCTTTCTCTCTCTGTATTCTCTCTTTATTCTCTCTTCGTTCTCTCTCTATTCTCTATTTATCCATCTATCGGATTTCATCGCTCTCCTCTCCTCTCACTCTCACTTTCTCTAACCTTCTATCTGTCTCCTTATTCTTTCTCTCTATCCATCTATCTATCTATCTATCTATCGGATTTTACCTCTCTTCTCTTTCTTTCTCTCTTTCCTTCTCTCTCTCTCTCTCTCTCTCTCTCTCTCTCTCTCTCTCTCTCTCTCTCTCTCTCTCTCTCTCTCTCTCTCTCTCTCTCTCTCTCTCTCTCTCTCTCTCTCTCTCCTTCTCTCTCTCTCTCTCTCTCTCTCTCTCTCTCTCTCTCTCTCTCTCTCTCTCTCTCTCTCTCTCTCTCTCTCTCTCTCTCTCACTTTCTCTCTTTCTGTCTCTCCCCCCCCCCCCCCCCCACCCCGCACAGACATTCTTTTTTCAATACCACCAGATCTGCATATGTGCCTCCACGCCCCAGACTAGGAACAATTACGGGTAGTATTCATACCCTGTCCCGCATGATCTCTCTACAAACACGCCGCACGTGCATACAACGTGTGCATAGAATTTCTGAGGCTTTTAGATTTCCTCTTCTCAACCAACTATTTCGGTTGTTTTACCACCTCTCTTACTTGTGCTTCTAATTAGCTGAGTTTTCATACAGTATTATTGCCATTCTTTTAGGTAATACATCGAATCATCACTTCTACCACGGTTTTGCAGATGTTGATAGGTGGGGTGTGCGTGTGCGCGTGTGTGTGTTTGTGGGTGTTGGGGGTGTAGGTGTTTGTGTGTGCACATGTGCATGTGTGGGCGTGTATTTGTATCTGCAGATACGTTTTTTGAATTTGCTTATGTGTCTGTTTTGTATGTGTTTGCATGTGTGTATGTACTTGTGTGTGTCTTTGTGTGTGTGTGTCTGTGTGTGTGTGTGTGTCTGTGTGTGTGTGTCTGTGTGTGTGTGTGTGTGTGTCTGTGTGTGTGTGTGTGTGTGCGAGTGTGTGAACACAGCAAAGTGGGCTTGAAATTATACATGCGCATTTTCCAATGA